TAGTTGTACTAATACAAGTCGTCGTCGCCATAGTCGTAACAGCCGTAGTAGTCGTAGTAATGGTAATCCTACAAGTAGTAGGCGTAGTAGTCGTCGTCGTCGTAGCAGTAGCCGGAGTAGTAAAAATAGTACTGGTGGAAGTCGTCGCAGTAGTCGTAGCAATAATGCAAGTAGTAGTAGGTGTAGTAGTAGTACTAAAAGAAGTAGGAGTCATAATACTACTAGTCGTAGTAGCTGTAGTAGTAGTAGTAGTAGTAGTAGTAGTAGTAGCAGTCGTCGTAGTAGTAGTAGTAGTAGTAGTAGTAGTAGTAGTAGTAGTCGTAGAGGTAGCAGTAGCAATAGTCACAGTTGTAGTCGTAGTCGCAATAGTGGTGGTAGCAGTAGTAGTAGTCGTAGCAGTAGTAGTAGTCGTAGTAGTAGTAATAGTAGTAGTCGTCGTAGTAATAGTAGTAGTAGTAGTAGTAGTAGTCGTCGTCGTAATAGTAGTAGTAGTAGTAGTAGTAGTAGTAGTAGTAGTAGTAGTAGTAGTAGTAATAGTATAGTAGTAGTAGTAGTAAAAGTAGTAGTAGTAGTCGTAATAGTAGTAGTAGTAGTAGTATCAGTAGTAGTAGTAGTAGTAGTAGTAGTAGTGGTAGTAGTAGTAGTAGTAGTATTGTAGCCGTAGTAGTAGTAGTAGTAGTAGTAGTAGTAGTTAGTACTGGTAGCAGTAGTAGTAGTAGTAGTAGTAGTAGTAGCAGTAGTAGTAGCAGTAGTAGTTGTAGTAGTAGTAGTAACAAGGAGTAGCGCTAGTAGTAATATCCGTAGTAATAGTAGTAATAATAATAAGTAGTAGTAGTCGTCGTCGTCGTCGTAGTAGTTGTAGAAGTTGTAGTATCAGTCGTCGTAGTGGTAGTAGTAGTAGTAGTAGTGGTAGTAGTAGCAGTAGTAGTAGTAGTAGATGTAGTAGTATATGTAGTAATAGTTAGTGGTAGTGGTAATAGTAGCAGTAGTGGTAATAGTAGTCACAACAGAAATATGATCCGTAGAAATGGTGGTCATAGTAGTTGTGGTAATCGTAGTAATAGTAATACTGGTAATAGTAGCAGTAGCAGTAGTAGTAGTAGTAGTAGTAGTAGTAGTAGTAGTAGTAGTAGTAACAGTAAAACAAGTAGTACAAATCGTCGTTGAAACAGTCGTAGCAGTTGTACCAGTCGTAGTAGTAGTAATAATAATCCTAAAGCAAGTAGGCGTATATGTCGTCCCCGTCGTAGCAGTAGTCGTAGTAGTAGTAGTAGTAGTAGTAGTAGTAGTAGTAGTAGTAGTAGTAGTAGTAGTAGTAGTAACACAATTAGTAGTAGTAGTCGTAATAGAAATACTAGTAGTACTAATAATAATGATACTCGTCGCAATAATACCAGGAATAGTTGTAATTGTAGTAGTCGTCGTAGTAAGAGTAGTAAAAGTAGTAGTCGTAGTAGTAGTGCTAGTAGTGGCTCGTAGTAGTAGTAGTAGTAGTAGTAGTAGTAGGGGTAGTAGTCATAATAGTCGTTGTAGAAAAACAAGTACTAGTAGTAAGAATGATAGTCGTCGCAGTAATAGTAGTCGCAGTAGTAGTAGTAGTAGTAGTAGTAGTAGTAGTAGTAGTCGTAGTAGTAGTAGTAGTAGTAGTAGTAGTAGTAGTAGTGGTAGTAGTAGTAGTAGTAGGAGTAGTAGTAGTAGTAGTAGTAGTAATAATCGTAGTAGTAATCGTAGTAGTCGTAGCTGTAGCAGTAGTAGTAGTAGTAGTAGTAGTAGTAGTAGTACTAGTACTAGTAGTAGTAGTAGTTGTAGTAGTAGTAGTAGTAGTAGTAGTAGTAGTAGTAGTAGTAGTAGCGGGAGTAGTAGCAGTAGTAGTAGTAATAGTAGTAGTAGTAATAATAGTAGTCGTCGTAATCGTAGTAGTCGTGGCTGTAGCAGTAGTAGTAGTAGTAGTAGTAGTAGTAGTAGTAGTAGTAATAATAGTAGTAGTAGGTAGTGATAGTAGTAGCAGTAATAGTCGTAGTAGTAGTAGTAGTAGTAGTAGCAGTAGTGATAATAGTGGGAAGAACTCACGTAGCAGATTTGGGCTCACGCGCGCGTGGCGGCCCCTGGGGTTGCCCGGTCCAAGCGTACCCGGGGCTCTTCTTCTCAAGGATGCCGGAACTCCTGGGGCCCGTCTTCAAGGCTCTCAAGATCGTTTCAAGGGGCCCCAAGGGGCCCCCAATACGGTCCAAGACCCTGGGAAGATCCTGGGGCGATTTTGAGGCGATAAGGTCGAAATGGATTTTGGAGCCTTCTTCAGGCTGTCTTGGACTGTTTGGTCGTGTTGGGGGCCGTTTTGGCGTTCTCTTGGGCCGTCTAAAAGCCCTCTTGGGTTGGGAACCTTTTGGGGACTTCATGGGCCGTCTTGAAGCCCGCGTGGGGGTGTTTGGAGCCGATTTGGGGGCGGTATTTGACATTCCTTGGGACGTCTTGGAGCGTGGCAGCGCGAGAAGGCGAGGACACCGAAATCCTTCGAAAACCGAAGGGGAAATTGACGACTTCACGCTACGTAGGCTCAATCTGCAGGCCTCGTACACGTGTGGGGGTGCGTTTTAGACGCCTCTTGGGCGTCTTGGTGTGCTTTGGAGCTGTCGACGAGCAATCTTGGGAAATATTGGAGGCCTCATTTCACCCTCCGAGAAGGCTGGAAGGCCGAAGGAACCCTTTGCAAGGGCGTCCGAGCAGCCTGGGGGGGCTTCCGAGCAGCCCGGGTAATCCGAAATTCGTTCGGAGGGGGAACGGGGGCCCTGTCCAGTGTCCCCGGCCTGATGCATCATATATATATATATGTATATATATATATGTGTGTATGTATATATATATATACATATATATATGCATGTATGCACATGCATTATGTTTACGTATGTATGTAAACATGTATGCTTGTAGGTTTGTATGCTTATATGTGTATGTATGTATATATATATATATATGGTAATGCATATATATAGGTGGATGTATGCATGTACGTATGTACGCATGTACGTATGTACATGTGTGTATGTGTATGTGTGTGTTTGTGTATGTGCATGTGTGTATGTGCATTATACATGTGTGTAGGTGTATTTGTATTTGTGTGTGCATGTGTATGTGTATGTGTGTATATGTATATGCCAGGTCATCTGTATACATATGTGCATGTGTGTATATGTACCATATATGTACCAGTATGCGTATGTGTACATGTTTATGTATGTCTCTGTATGCATGTAGAGAGGCGCGTATCGAGGAAGGGGCCACGACATAGGGAGCGAACTTATGATACACCAGGACCGAGTGGTACGGAGAGACATAACATTACACATATACTGCGGCACACTTACATGATCATGACTGTCCTGTATACATATACACATGTAATATGTATGTATACGTACATAAACATATGTATGCGATATAACGCAATGGTGTGTATTCGAACAACGTTGCACTGAGAAGTTCAGATTGGGATTGCGATCTGGCTCAGGACAGCGGTAGCGATACAGTAATGACGGAGAGAGCGAACAAGGAACAGACGCAGCTGACGCATAGAGCAGAGGCCTCCACGAGTCTCGGCCTGTCAACGGTTCTCACAGTCAGGAGTCTAAGTCGATGCGTTTGGGGGGTTGACAAGGCGGCCGTATCACCCCCCCCCCCTGGCCCTCGTTGTGTCCCCCTCCCCCTCTTCCCCCTCCTCCTTTCCCCTTCCTCCTCTCTCCCCTCCTCCCCCTCCTTCTCCTGGAGGGGTGCGGGGGCCAGGGGTTCGGTTTGGCGGCCGCACTGTTGATCCCCCGGTGGCTGAGCGGCCGCGTCAGGGGCAACGTATCCCCCAAAAGGTACGGCTAACCCACGCCCTCCCCAGGAGGGCGCCCCCTAACGGGTAATGCTCGGGGAGGGGACTTGTGCTGTATGTTCGGGCGCTGGCGGATAGTGCCACGTTGTGATCGTCCCTTCTCCGGGTCTTATTGTGAGTGCGGGGGCGGGACTGCTCAAACCTCCCCGGATTCAATGCCAGAGAGGGCGGTTGGGGCTACGGCCCTTTCCCTCTCGGCCCCATCCGGGGGGCAGGCCGGGGGTGCCCATGGTCCAGGCGACCCGGCTTATTCTATCTAAGTGTTCGTGTGCTTCCGATGTGGTGCCCGTAGTGGACCCTAAGTAGCCGGTTGAGGCAGTTCGGTGAATCAGGTGCGATCTTCGACGTGCGCACTGGAAACCCAACAGCGAAGCACCCAACATATGATTTTGTGAATTAATGTGTGATTGCGTGTCTCAATAGATTAGTCTGGCCCCTGCGCATCGACGACACGCAAAGAAGTGAGTTGGGGCACAACGGTGTCGCGGCCTGCGCTAGTCCCGCGTCCACCCTCCTTGGTTCCAGCGTTACGGACAGCCCGGCTTGGGCGTTCGTTTTGCCGCGCCTCCGGGCCGATGGCCCCAGCGCCGATGGCCTTCTTTAAGGACCATCTGGGGGGAGCAAACTCACTGCGCCCAGCGCCGGATTCCTCTGGTTGCCTGCTCCCCCCAAACCCCTTCGCGGCGGGGGTTGTTGCTGGAACGCAGAGGGGGGTGGGGCAGCGGGCTGGCCTGGTCGCGGGGGGGTGGGTGGCGGAAGTGGAGTAGCGTATACCCTAAATAACGGATGTTTGGTTGTCTTTCTGGGGTGGGTTTCAATGTTTCTGTCGTTGTTCGGGGTATCGATCGGGTGTGTGACTCTCCGCTTCTTCCACTCCCACCGGGGGCCATCATTCTCTAATTTTCGTGTGGGGTCCAATGCGCCGTCTCGGGAGGTTTTTCCCTGCCGGCCCAGGGGCCGTTCGCGGCCGTCAACCTGGAGGACGAGGACGAGGACGAGGAACAGACGCAGGCGGCGCAAGCGAGCGAGCAGTATATACATATATATAAATATACAGGTATGAGGAGAGGGAGGGGCAGGAAGGCGAGAAGGAATAACATGATAAGGCACGAACAAACAAGGAGTCGGAAGAGGTAAGGGGGGAGGGGAGGAGAGGGACCGAAGCCGTGGACTTGTGCCGAAATAGCTGAGATGAACGTCTTTCTGTGCGGCACGAGCGCAAATCTCTGAGCTTGGCGATCGAACAAATGACCGAAACCAACATGGACTGCAACTCCCTCGCTCCGCCTCCTCCTCCTCCATCTTGTTCGTCTTCTCCTCCTCCTCCTCCTCCTCCTCCTCCCTCCTCCTCCTCCTCTTCCAACTCCTCGTCCATATCCCTGCTCCTCCTATCCCCTCTCGTTTTTCACCTCATCCTCTTGCGAATCATCGAGTTCATCTTTTTCTTTCGTCTCCCGTCCTAGATTCTAGATTTCTAGATTATAAGAGTGCTTCTTATGTCCCCCGTCCGCCATGCTCGCTGGTCCTTCCACACTGCCTCCTATTGCCCCCCCTTCTCTCTTCACCCTCGCCGCTTCTCCGTTGCTCATACCTCCTTCCTCTCTCGTCCTTTCTTCTCCCTCCTCTCTTCCGTCCCTCCTCCCCTCGCGTGGAGATGGAAGATGTGCAACCACCGATCGGAAATGACACCAAACAAAGAATGACGTCTACATCACGTTGCCGTGACTGTTTCCGGACATCATGGGACATGGAACCCTATCCCAAACAAGCCATGCGAGCAAACCATCAGTCATGAGCAGCGGCGGCAACCTTGAGACGCTCGATAACTGGCAGCGGATAACTTAAGGTAAAGCTACCTGCCTCGATAATTCCACCAGCCCTCTGGGTGTAGGTGGTCTCATGATGTTTCTCTGTCCTCTTCCAAACTTCCTCTCCCCTTCTGGGAAGAACACCCGTCCCCTTCCCTCCCTGAGTTTTGTTTGGCGCTTTTCGACAAGAGGACGTCCACGAGGCCAACATCAGTGAGTTTCCTTAGGTGTGTCACTTGTTTTAGCGTTCTCGCCTTGTCAATCTTCCGATGCTCCAAGACGGCCCCATCAGCCCCGAGATCGCCCCAAGAGGACCCCACGACAACCCAAGAGGCCTCAGGAGGGCCTCCAGACGGCCCCATAGACCTCCAAGATGGCCCTATCTCGCCCAAAGAGAAACCCGCGACTGCCCAGAGAGGCCCTCAAGATGGCCTCCAAAGCCAACTGGAGAGCTCTCAGAGGCCCCCGAGGCACAAGACTACCTCGAGAGGCATCTTTGTCCTGCTCCTGCTCCTGCTCCTGCTCATCCGCCTGCTGCTCCTCCTTCTCCTCCTCCTCCTCCTCCTCCTCCTCCTCCGCCGTCTCTTCTTTCTTTCACTTTCTCGTGCAGGTGCTCCCCCAAGGTGTTGCACAATGGCTGGGGGAACACACAGTCCAATAGCTTGCCCAAACTCTGGCTCAACGTTTGGCCGCACGGGCGCCTCCAAAAGGCAGGGGCGGCGGTGGTTCGCCGTAGGCGCCCTCGACATCCACATGCATCTGATGAAGAAGTTCTGAGGGGCAACGAAAGGGGGGGACTTGCATAGGGGGGATGCATCGACCTGGAATCGGCGATACATCTCCGATAGATCGGCGATAGGCCTCCGGTAGTGAATCCACACCTTCCTGGGCATGTTGGAGCTATCGGACCCCTATCGACGATCAATGGGCGATTGAGGGTCGATGCATACCCCCTATGCCTATCCCCCCCTATCGCTGCCCCTGAAGTTCTGGTATCATCGCATGGACACATTGGCAATCCATTCGAGTTCCTTGCCGCACTTTCTCCATCCAGGCGAGTGTGTGAATTAGAGATTTGCATGTCTGAACATTCAAATTCCAACATTGCCTCGCGTAAGTTCGACAAAAGGGTTGCCATCCATCTGCTGATGCGATTTCGATTGTCTAGTGGACGTTAACAAGCTTGAACCCAAATGCATCAACATATCCTTGATCGATCTTCACCTGCACAAGCTTACCATGACGCTGTGTTACAGATGCGAGAGCGCCTGCCCTGAGGCAGCGCGAGACAAACACAACTGCGAGCAGCAGCAAATTCATGTCTCGACAGACCATGAACGTACAGCAATTCAGTAGAAACTCGGGCGCATCTCGGGCTCGAGCAAGCGCAGCCAAACACTTCTCGTCGGCGGCGAGGCCGAATGGCTGCACCAGCGATGAGGCTCACCGGGGGCACCGGAAAGCGAAGTGGCCAGAGTGCAGTGGGAGGACGAGGACGGACAAGGCGGCCGCGGAAGGGGGGAAGAGACGGGGCCACTCAGAGGTGGAAAACTTCCGTCCCGAGTGAGCTGGCGCGGTCTCGCCATCGCTCGGACGTTTTTTTCGGTTTCGTGCGTGGTTTTTTCGCCAAATGATCAAGGATGCTCCTCGATGGTCCTCGCCGAGGAAAAAACGCACACGTCCGAGCGATGCCAAGCGGTCGGCCCCGTCGGCGGAGACCACGGCAGCAGCAAGCGTGGCCAAGCACGCTGCGGCAGACCCCCCCGCGGACGAGCAACGGGCACGGGCCGCGCGCGGTGGCGGTGGAGGTGGCCGGCC